ATATGGCTGTCCCCACATGGCCAGTGCTCTTTTGACAGTGGGTTAACAACTTTAGCAATGAAAATGAAAGCTGATGGTCCCAATTCCAAGCTGAATGGCAACTTTCCTCCATTTCTTTTTAAAGCCACAGCGTCCACTTTATCGATGTTCTGTTCAACTGGAAGAGGCATTGTTAACTAAGAGCTGGAAATGGCCTGAACACTGTGATTTTCCTACATAACCATTTTATTAAATCATAAACTAAAATAAAATGTAGTAAAGATTAAATTTCCTTCTTAAAGACCTTTAATGTGCAATTCAAGCAGACTCTAACAGGGAGAAAGTAATTTTCTAATGTGGTTAAGTGGCTTCCCACCAGTGGCCACCCTGTGACAGTGCCACAGAGGCACATTCACCTTAAAGAGAGGGCCCAGTGTCACGAGGGTTTCAGAAGTATTTGCCTTTTGAAAACATTTAAGACAAAGCAATCTCAGCACATTCATTCAATGCTCCAGCATGCATTGCTTCAAAAGCAAACAGTTGAGTAAAATACAATCACTGGTCTCTACTTACTCGGAACAAAAGATGCAGACGGACACTCAAGGCTCAGAGAAGAACATAAGATTGTCTAGAAAAAGAAGCTATTGTCAGGGAACTCTGGTGGCCTAGTGGCAAGAAGGTGCACTGCAATTCCAAAGGGATGCAGTTCAAATCCACCAGATGCTCTGCTGGAGAAAGAGGGGCAATCTCCTCCTGTACCAGTTAGATCTGATTCGATGGTACACAAGAAGAAATAAAAAAAGAAGCTATTGTGTGAACAGAACAAGGGAACACTGCATGTTTTAAAATAGAAAAAGGAATGCATCAGGGCTGTATCCTTTCTCCATACCTATTCAATCTATAAATCATTAGAGAAGCTGGACTTTATGAGGAAGAAAGTGGTATCAAGATTAGAGATAGACTCATCAACAATTTTTGTTATGCAGACAACACAACCTTGCTTGTAGAAAGTGAAAAGGACCCGAAATACTGTATATGATCAAAGACTACAGCCTTCAATATGCATCACATCTCAGCAACAAGAATAAAATATCCCTCATCACATGACAGATGGAGAAACATCAAGAATAAATGAGGGAGCTCTGGTGGCCTAGTGGCAAGAAGGTGCACTGCAATCACAGGGATGCACGGTTCAAATCTATCAGATGCTCTGCTGGAGAAGGAGGGCAATCTCATCCTGGACAAGTCAGATCTGATTTGATGGTACACACACACAAAAATAATAAAATTTTTTAAAAAAACAACAAATTTTTTTAAATCAAGAATAAAAAAAACATGGGAAAAAGACTGAAAATGTCAATTATTTTATTTTGCTTGAATCCACACTCAACACTGTTTGTACTAGGATTCAGGAGATCTGATACAAACAGCATTGGGAAAGTCTGCTGCCAGGGACCTCTCCAAAGTCCTGATGAACAATGGAGTCAGTTTAAAGACTAAGGTGAGCCTGATTCATTTCATGAGCTTTCCAATCACCTGCTATCCATCTGAGAGCTAGAGAGTGGATAAAAATTGCAGAAGTATCAATGCCTTTGAATTGGCGTGCTGAGTCTCTCATGGATGGCCAAAAGTACAGATAGGTATGTCTTAGAGAAAGTGCAGCCAGAGTGCTCCTTGGAGGAAAGGCTGAAGAAGCTATGTCTCACATCCTTTGGGCATGTTATACAGACAACACAAGTTAGGAGAGGTTATTCCATAGAAAGGAACATCAAGCTTGGAAAGGTGGAAAGTCAGTGAAAGAGAAGACCTTCAATGAAATGGACTGATACTATGTAGCATAAGGCTCAAGTTCAGAACTGTTGTTCACAGGGTCGCTATGAGGTGTACTCAACTCAGTGGCACTTAACAAGAACACCACCACCACAAGCCGTGGTCTACTGTGAGAGCCAGGAGAACTAGACGGTGCCTGGCTACCATTAATGAGCACTGTAGTCAGGACCCCAACAGATGAACTCTGATAGAACCAGAGAAACACATGAAACAGAACTCAAACTCTTCAAGTCCAAACATACTCCACTAGCTGAAACTAGAGAACTCCCAAGATTATTGCCTTGAGATAGCTCACAAGTGTTGCCCTCAACTATATCATAAGGTCACCAAAACAACAGACTAGTTTGTAAAACACAGCCTTGAGCTGATTCAAGTTCATGACTACCTTGTGTGTGTGTGTGTGTTGGAGTAGAACTGTGCTCTGTAGAGCTTTCAAGGACTGACCTGTATCACACTACTTCAACAAAATCACCTACTGGAAACCAAAGGATCAAGAGCTCCCTTACAGAAAAGTGGGGAGATGATGAAAAGCTAACAGAGCAGGAAATGAGGTTCCCAGGAACAGAGCAGCCAGCATGGGGTTCTGAGAATGTTCACTGATTAGGAACATAACTCCTGGTAAAGACTGAAGCCAAGACCACAAAACAAATTGCATAGAAATGGCTGAATGGAAACCTTTTCTGTTGTGTAAACTTCCACTGAAAACACAACAAAATATTATTCCAAAAGATAAAACAAATGAACCAATAGTAATTACAATGTTAGTTTCCCTAACGTAAATTATCCACAAGAATGCATTTCCCGTTAGCAGAAGAAGTGGCATGCAGGAGCTTCCCTAAAACAGGGAAGGCAGCTGGGCGTTTGTTCTGTACAAAGAACTGAGGAAGGGAGGGAAGGGGAATTCAGGAGGATGACAGTCTCCACGAATCAGAATCAACCTCATAGGAACCATTTTCAGGAACTCCCGGGAATGCAAGTGGTTAACAAGCTCAGCTCTAATCAAAGAGTCGGGAGTTAGATTCTACAAAGAGACACCTTAGAAGAAAGGACTGGTGATCTACTTGTGAAAAATCAGTCCTTGAAAGCTCTATAGAGCACAGTTCCACTCCAACACACACACAGGGTAGTCAGGAACTTGAATCAGCTCAAGGGCAATTGGATTTTGGTTTCAGATAGAACAAGTTCAAGGAGTTACATGAGGGCAGGAGAGGATGGGGTGCCAGTGGTCTCTGGCATCCACTTGATATCTAATATATTCTAAGTTGTCCATGATCTCAGAGTCGGTGTCACTGTCGCCAAAGGTGATAAAGGCCCTTTATCTCAGTGAAAGAGAGGAGGATTCTTAAGGAGATGGAGGGACACAGCGACTAGCATTGGGCTTAGCACAGCAGAGATGGTGAGAATGGCACAGGATAGAACAAGGTTCCCATCTGTGGTTCACAGTAGTGAACTTGATGGTTGGTAGTGAACTTGATGGTCCCTACCAACAACAGCAGCAATACAGTCACCTGATCCCACATGGATATGGTCCTACTACAAACTTTTCTGAACTACTTTATATTAAAGCTTGCATTTTCTCCATTCTTATTTTGGATTCAAGACCAGAATAAGAACTACAAGACAGTAATAATTTCCAAGGCAGTTCACACTAGAGTGTGCATGAAAACAGACCATGTCAATCAGATCATTTCTGAAAGGAGGGCTGACTTCTGGCAGTTAACAACACGGGGAAGGAAATGCACCATCATTAATGCAGCATCCAGAACACCAGTGCTTAACACGTGCTGGTCACAGGAGAAGAGCAAAGCAATCTGATGCAGGAACGGTCGTGTTTGTGTTGTTCTTTGATGCTTGAAGAGACTATGGAGGGATGTAGGACATGGTTCCTGGTAGGACTTGATCTCCAAAGTAAAAATGAAAACAGAAACCACTCATATAAGGAAAAATTACATAACTTTGCATGCAAAAAGTGGAAGATTCTGAAGCACTTAGAGAAAAAAAAAATTAAAGACCACTGGATTCACTATGGATGACACCTCAACATGAAGAAAATAAAAAATGCTCCCAACTGGACAAATAGGCAACATTTAAGCCTTCTGTTTAGAGTCAACAAGACCTTGAGGAAGGCCTTTGTATTTAAAAGTCAGTTGTTACTATATTTCAGAGGAACATTCTTCTAAGTGGTACAGCACTCTTCTGTCAATATGCTGTACTGAGGTAACTTGGGGTTGCTGTGATGCTAAACCTTATGCCATTGGGGTGTCAAATGCCATAGTGGTTACCCATGGTGGACAGTGTTTGCTGGTGCTCCCAATTTAAGACAGGTTTGGAAGCAGAAGTGGCATCCACTTCGTAAACAACATGCCTCTGGAAATGCTATATACTTTGAGAAATGGCAATAGTTATAGAAAGGCTTCAGGTCTTTTGTTCAAAGGGTCGCTACGAGTCATGCTCAACTCGATGGCAATCAACAACTACGTGATAAATGAAGAAAAGATTTAAGTTGTCAAGAATTTAATTTTCCTTGACTCCACAATAAGCACTCATGAAAGCAATCTGATATTGCAACGACATCAGTTTAAAGATTAAGTAATGCCTGACCCTAGTCATAGTATTTCCAATTGCTTCACATACATGTGAAAGCTGGACAATCAATACGGAAGAGCAAAGAACTGATGCCTTGGATTCGTGGTGCTGGTGAGGAGTATCAACTATCCTGTGGGCTCTCAAAAGAACAAACAAATCTTGTCTTGAAAGAGGCGCAGTCAGAGTACCCGAGAGAGGGAAAGACTGTGAGGCTTCATCTCACACTTCAGGCATGTCATCAGAAGGAGTCAATCCTCAGAAAAGGACAGCATGCTGGGGACGGCAGAGGATCAGCAAAGAAGAGGAAGACCACAAAGAGGCCACAAAGAGGCCTGATGCAGTGAAGGCCTGACGCAAAGGTGGCAACAATGCTCTTACACACAGTGCAGAGCATGGAGGGGCTGCAGAATTAGGCGAAGTGTGATCTCTCGTACGTAGGGTTGCTATGAGTCAGAGTCCACGGGATGGCACGTAACAGCATCACTATCTGCAGCGGCTGGTGGATGCAGGGACACAAGAGGTCCCTCTTGGTCCTCCTCCCTCAATGGCAGGAGCCCAACGCCTGTCCACTAGCCATTCCTGTGAGAGGAGGGACGGCCTCTTACCTGGAACGTCTGCTCCACCTTCTCCCTGTGCGGGGCCCGGTCCAGGGTGCCATCCGTCTGACTCCTCTTCAGACCAGTGGTGATGTCAGGCACATTGCTGAAATCTGCAAGAAAAATGGCAAAGATATTCTCAGCGAGCACGTTACTGTGTGTCCTCAAGTCAGGACAGACCCACAACTGATCCTTCAGTGGGTTTTCAGAGGCAGCAAATCACATGTGAGGAGACTGCATCTTTCCCTCATGGAGCGGCTGGGAGATGGAAATGAGAGCCTTTGGGATTGTAGTGCAGCTTCTTACTGATGGGCCACAGGAACAAGCTCCCTTGGCCCTCTGTAAATAACACAGGCAGACCTCAGAGACACAGGTTCGGGTCCAGCACATGGCAATAGAGCAAATGTTGCAAAGAAAGTGAGGCACGGAAAGGTCTTCATTTCTCAGTATATAAGAGATATGTTTACACTATAGTCTATTATGTATGGAAGAGAATCATGAAAAAGTTTGAAAAGTTGTGAGCATGGGAGCTCTGGTGGCCTAATGGCAAGAAGCTGCACTGCAATCCCAGAGGTGTGTGGTTCAAATCCACCAGATGCTCTGTTGGAGAAGGAGGGACAATCTCCTCCTGTCTCTGCCAGATCTGATTTGATGGTACATATAAAAAAAATAATAAAATTATAAAAAGTTGCGAGCAAGACCACAAAGTGACACAGAGACATGAAATGAGCACATACTGTGGGGAAAAAGATGCCTATTGACTTACTTGACATAGGATTACCACAAACTTTTAAATGGTGGCCACAACAAAACAAAATATATATCCATAAAGCACAAGAAAGTGATGTACCATAAAACAAAATGTACCTGTGGTAACAACCAGGTTTAAAACTCACATAAAGAAGAGGGTGGCTAACGACCTTAAAACTTGTTGCTGTCAAATTTGTTTCTACTCCTGTCAGCTCTTCATGTTACATAGTATAACTGCTCCATAACATTTTATTTCTTTTCATTAGTTAATTTATTTTTTAATTGAAACAAAGGTTTATAAGTCATACTGGTTTATAAAATGAGCAAGCAGAATGTGGAGAAGGCCATTCCTGATCTGTACTAATTCCACAAAGGGGAACTGCCCCCATCAACAGCACCTACAAGACAAAACCAATTCCCATAAAATCAGACACACACACACCCCCTCTGGCCAATGTTCTCACACCTCTTTCTACTAATTCCTAATACCAATCCTACTGCCCTGCTGAGTCCAAAATCCATTGCAGTAGCTCACAGACCATACAGAACCATACTTAGGATTACAGGATTTATTAGGGGCCTTACTTAACAGGATACAGTTTCAGTTGTAACAGGATACAATTTCTCAGTCAAAACAGTTTCCAAAGCATGCTCACAGGCTCCTCAGCCTCACAGCTTTAGACCAGTATTGCAAAGTTCTTGGTCCTGCCAATTACTTCAACATCTCTTCCCTTTGTTTTGGCTTCTCAACCCTTTAGTGCAATTTTCAGGGTCTCTTCTAACATCCATTTTGGTAGTGTAGCCAGGAAGGGACGTCGCTCCCTCAGGGAGAATAGACAGGGAGCCTAGCATAGGATGGAGTGAGGAAAGACACAGGACAGAGAGACACACAGAGAGACACACAGAAGATGAGGAGGCATATGTGCACATAACTAGGATCAGCCCAACTTATGGTGATACATAAACATCAGGGAAAACGCTGCCCAGGTCTGCACCTTCCCTGCGGTCAGCTGCGGGCTGCACCACCAGGATCCAGTCTTCAGGCTGGTTTTTAGAAGTAGACCACTAGGCCTTTCTTCCAGACATCTTTGTCGAGAAGCTTCACTGAAATCTGTTAACCAACACAGCAATTCAGGAGTCTAACTCAGGTCTGTGGCTTAGAAAACAAGGATTCCATCTCTGACACATTGCTGTCCCCTCAGAGGAAATGCCTGCCTCTTCATACAGTAGGAGCCGTTGGGGTGCAGGGAAGTCCAGAACGAGTATTTGCCCGGCAGCCAGCATGTAACACTGAACACTATCTGGGCAACAAACACAACCATATGTGCAATACAGCTGCTTCACCCTGGAAACAATCAGCTCTGGGACTTCCAAGGAGTCACTCCAAGTACAGGAAGTGTGACGCCAAGTCACATAACATATCCACTCATGATCACCATGTTGACAGCACCTGTTAAATGTCAGGTGTGATCCAACTCCAGGTACACAAAGATAAGTGAGCCCTGGAGCGCAGGGAAGAGTCCAGGTTACAAAGAGAAGAGACTGCCTCGTACTTGGAGGGGCCATACGGATGATGGGAAGACTTGATGGGGATTGTGAAGAGATGCCAACCAAAGCCCAGTGTCCTCTGCTCGGTATATTCATGAAACTTCGGAGCTTTAAATGGCAAAAACTCCCCAAACCACCTGTTGTCCCTTTCTGAAGATCATTATTCATGTAATAATGGAAGCCAGGGAGAGAGAAGCTGTGATGTTTGCCTGGTAACAGAACAGTCCTTATGACACCTTCCTGCCAAAACCTTGCTGATGTCAAAATGACTTGAACTGGTCCATTTAACATTAACTAAAAGGTTAGTAGTTTGAGGCTACCCAGATATGCCTCATAAGAAAGGCCTGGCAATCCTCTTTAAAAAAATCAAGCAGCTGAAAACCCCATGACGCACAGTTCTTCTCTGGAACATATGGGGTCAGTAGGGTTAAAAGCTGAAATGTTGGACAACAGGTAACTGTGATACCTGCTGCCCTGCCCAGAGAATTGCACCACTTTCAGGGTGCAAACCCTGTCCAAATGCCCCACTCAAGGGCAGAAGCGCCCCCTCCAGTCCAGGGAGCTACCCCCCTGAGGGCGCAAACCTGCCCAGGGCATTAAACTGCCCAGGGCACTAACCCACCCAGGGCACAAGCCCCACCAGGATGCAAGCCCCGTCCAGGACACCAGCCAGATCTAGTATACAAGCCCTGCCCAGGACACAAGCCAGGTCTAGGCTTCAAGTCTCTCCCAGGACACAAGCCCCACACAGGATACAAGCCCCAAACAGGGCATAACATTCAGTTTACAACTGCTAAGACCCGCCCCACAGCACCCCCAGCATCGCTTAACTTGAGGGAACTTCTGGATATGGCTTGGATCCTTCCTCCCTGAGGTATGAGCTTGGGCAGGATGGACTACCAAAGCCAACTCCAGGGGGCCTGGCCCTGGGGATGGAGATGAAGAAGTTCTGGGCAGTTCTTGGAGACCCGAGGCTGTCCAGCCTTCCAAGTGAGACAAGTGCTGATCACTTAAGGCTCCAAGCCCCACTGCACTGGTGAGGGTCCTCTGGCACCTGCACCGGCCCAGGCACCGGCCCACCAGCATCAGCACCTGGGGACCAACACTGCGGGGGCCACACGCGTCCACAACTACTGGCCTGGCTCTGGGACTCTCAAGTTCCTAGGATCTGCATCCCAAAACTGTGTTCCTCTAGTCATCTGTCCACAGGAGAAATGAGAACACAGGTATTCTGGAAGAATAGCAGGTCAGAGTTGGGGTGGTTTTGGTTTTGGGATTTAAAAAAAAAAAGGGGGGGGGGGCTGGTAAAATGCAATGCTTGTTTACAAAGCAATTTTAAACAGACCAAAGCTGACATCTTGTTCGGGTACCAAAGGCCTATGTGTAACCCCCACACACTCTGCCCACACTCTGAGCACCAGCTGCTGAATAAGACAGCACCCCTTTCTACCAGACAGGGAGCCCGGGTGGCGTGCTGCATGTGTTATGCTGCTAAAAGGAAGGTCAGTGACTTCAATCCTCAAGTGCCCTCAGGCACAAAGGAAGTCTCCTCCTGTGAAGATTTATAACCTCAGTGGCTATAATCTTTTCCTGTTCTCCTTTTTTATTTTATTTTTTTTTATGTGTACTGTCAAATCAGATCTGACTGGTCCAGGAGGAGACTGCCCCTCCTTCTCCAGCAGAGCATCTGGTAGATTAGAACTGCGTACCTCTGGGATTGCAGTGCTGCTTGTTGCCACTAGGCCACCGAGCTCCCCTTGTTCTCCTTTTTTATTCTAATTAAAAACTACCCTTTGTGCTACACAATGGAATATCAAAGAATCTGGTGTACAATAATTTTGGACATCTGCTATTTTAGGGGAAAAACATTTACAAAACATGCAAAACTTTACAGCAATAAATAGTAGACACTGAAATATTAGGTCAGTTGTTGTTATGTGCCTTTAAGTCATCTACAACCCATCACTACCTGCTAGGTTTCTAGCTGGGCTTTGACCAGTAACTTCTTCTGTTCTAGATGTCATCTTGATTCATTTAAATTTTTAAGTTTAGGGAGGTTTTGCTTACATGGCCACGACCAAACAGGATGCCCTATCTGGAAGAGAGTGAACAATAGTTTTGAACCTTGTCTTATCTTGAGCCAATTTAACTGCCTTGGACAAACCTATCCCCATTACCCCAGTTACTGTGTCAATCCATCTCATCCAGGGTCTTCCTCCCCACACTATCCCTCCACCCTTTCAAACATGATGTCTTTCTCCAAGGAATAGTTCTTTCTGGTAACACATCCAAAGTACATCAGATGGAGCTTCAACATCCTAGCCTCCAAGGACAAACTTGGTTTCACCCTCTCCAAGACAATCCTGTTTGCTCTTTTGACAGTTTATGGTATGTTCAATGTTCTTCTCCAACACCACAATTCAAAGGCATCTATTCTTCTTCCATTACCCTTAGCCATGGTCCAGCTCTCTGATGCATAGCAAGTAATTGTGAAGACCATGGCCTGGATCAGGCGCACCTTAGTTTCCAGGCTAGCATTGTTTTCTCCAGCACTCTGGAGAGGTTCTTGACAGCAGATTTACCTCATGCTATTCGTCTTTTGATTTCTTGACTGCTGGTGACAAAGGTGTTGACTGTAGAGCCAAGCAAGCTGAAACGGAATGATCTTAATCACTTCTCCATCTATCAGTGGTGACAATCTTTGTTTCCTTGATGTTGTGCCTCAATCCATATTGAAGTCCACAATCCTTGACCTTCTGCAGCAAATGTCTCAGGACCTCCTCGTTTCAGCAAGCAAGGGTGTGTCATCTGGTCA